TTCCAGAAACTGGACTTTAAAATCCAGTATTTTCTCCAAATCTCTTGTGTATGAAGTGCGTGGTGTTTCGAGCGCGCCCTACAAAACACCGGCTCCGTCTGGCTCTGCGGGTGTGAGGGTGCTGCCGTTCCTAGACAAGGCAGCGTTCCCCTTGCAGGGACACTAACCGGGGATTCTGGCAGAGCTGGCAAAGCCCGGTTTAGCGGAGGAACGTTGAGTTTGCTCTCGGGTTTTGCTGTTCGTGGCGCTGCTGATGTCTGCGTCATCCATCGGGTGTTTTTATTGGCAATTAGTGCACAGATAACAGTAGAAGTTATTATAAATATCGTTGTATATCTGCTACTGACAGATGCTGACTGAAAATGAGTAAAGACAAACAAATCGATGAAGAAGATGATGACAGCGACCAGTTCGAAGACTTTATGGAGAATTTTAACCAACTTGAACTGCTGGAGACGCACAGGCATTTGATTCCTGTAGGAACTCAGAGCTGCTGGTCAGGACAGTCTGATGATGACGATGATGAACAAGAAAGAAGTGAGGAATGGTACGAAATGCAAGAAAAAAAAATGGAAAAAAATCCAGAGAAATTGCTACTCTGGGCAGCTGAAAACAATCGGGTAAGGCATTTATTCTGTTCATACGTATCACTGACAAAGAGTGTTATTTTGAGGAGATATCTACAGTTTCATCCACAAACAAAAATTTACCTACGCTTTCCTTTATTGCTCTGAACTATTTTGATCCGGTTTTGCAAGCCCCTGTACGTAAAACATCTCCCTTTTGTAGCCCACACACTAAAATGTCTCTGGATCCATTAGCTTTCAGAACAAAAGCTTTGACTGTAGTCCAAAGTTAAAGTAACAGCACTCTTCTTAAACGTCAGTAGACTGAAAGCATGCCAGGGTCTTTCTTCATGGCAAGTGAGCCTTTTACCTGGGGTGGAAGAGGGTGTGTCTGAAATGTTGTCTTCTCAAAAGCCCCATGTGCAGATAATGGGTGACTGTTTTCCTATCTTTTTTGGGGGGGGGGAAGCTTTTTATTCTTGGAAGTGAGAGAGAGATGACCGCGTAGCTTATTACACCCTCGTGTACACGTATTTTCATTAGTTGCCTTTCTTACACGCACAAGCTCCATCTACAGTCCTGTGGAGGTACTTACGTCTTCACAGTGAATGGGGAGAAGGTGTAAGGTAAAGGTACTCCTAAGGCATTGCAACTAATGCTCACGTTGTATCTCTTTAAAAACAAAACAAAAAAAACGGCCCAAAACAAAAAACCCACAAAAAAAATCCCACCCCAGTAACAGTAACTGGTTTTAAAATTTCTTGTTGCACTTAAGCCTTTCTGAGACTGACAGAAATCGCTTTTCCATAAAACTTCAGAACAGTAAAAGCCATACATCTTGTTTGCAGTTTTGTATTAAATTACCTGTTTTCTATTTAGCTGAGTACAGTGAAGAGGCTCCTTTCCGAAAAGCTGGCTCCAGTTAATACTCGTGACGAAGATGAGTACACTCCTCTCCACCGAGCTGCCTACAGCGGGCACTTGGACATTGCACATGAACTGGTTGCCCAAGGGGCAGACGTTCACGCGCAGACAGTGGACGGCTGGACGCCTCTGCACAGCGCCTGTAAGTGGAACAATACCAAAATGGCCGCGTTCTTACTTCAGCAGGGTGCAGACATCAACGCGCAGACAAATGGTTTGCTGACACCGTTGCATATTGCTGCAGGAAACAAAAACAGCAGAGAAACCCTTGAACTCTTGCTGATGAATCGCTACGTGAAACCAGACCTGAAAAACAACTTGGATGAAACGGCCCTTGACATTGCTAGGAGGACTGATATCTATCACTACCTTTTTGAAATAGTAGAAGACTGCATAAATGCTGTGTCCCCTTAAAAGTTGTGGTTAAGCTTGTGAATGTGAGGGTTGCTGCCCCTCCTTTGTGTTCTGCATGCTCCTCAGTGGTGGTCGGTCCCTTTGCAACAAGGTTTTCATTTACGATACTTTAGTATTCTCCTCAGGCAAAGGTCACTTCTTGCAACTCAGCTCAGTGGTCTCGCTCATACTTCGAAGCGTTACTGCTGTTACTCAAGGTATTCAGAAAGTCTCAGTAATTTCAGTGAGTCTCCATTTAATTAGTGCAAATTTGGAGGGGCTTTTGTAATTGCTCTGCACTGTCAAAGCAGGAGGGAAAACTGGAATATTTACTTGATGTGAAAGAGTTGTGGCTTGGTTATGCAGAGTTTATTACGGCTCACTTGAAAATTATTTTTTGAGAAATTTAACTTTTTTTAAAACTGCATGAAAGCTCAGAATGAATGTAACTTATTTGGGTGATACACAAAATGTTTAGTGATCCTGGTGTAAGGCTTATTATAAAATAAAATATTTAACCCTAAGTATTTTGTTTTCATACTTTTAATTGAAAGCTCAATTATCAATGCAATTGCCTGTTCTTAAATCAAAAGCGTTATTCATAGGATGATAAAGTAGTTTTGGTTTATTTTTTTCCTGGTACTTTTCCAGGAAATCGCTTTCTATGAAGATCCTGTTTACTTTTACCTTGCAAATTAAGTTGAGGAGTAAAGTTTTAATGTCATGGATACGGCATTAGTTAGAACAAGTAAATTTCAACTGTATGAGGATAAACAGCCAACATACTGCTGTGTCTGATTTAGTTACAGCTAATTTAGTACAGGACACACTCAACAGTGTTTTTCTTCCACTTTTGATTTCCCGAAGGGAATTCCTCATTCCAACTCAAAATTAGGACATCAGCATAGTTCAGAAACTTTACTGGTATTTTTCCTCAAAATTCTTTCATTTCCAGACCATTATTTGACACCTTTTTAATTTGTGATAGCTTGTATTACTAATCCTAGACATTCCCATCTGAGTTGGGCTTCCAAAAGTTGTGACAGATTTGGCTGCCGTCATTTAACCACACTCAAGGTGGTGGAGGTGGGTTGGTTGGTTTGTTTCTTAAGATTTTAAGGCCCTTAGCACGCGCTTGAGTGCAGCTTTTCTCTGCAGTCATGCCAGCTAGAATCTCACTGGTTTGCAGTGAAGACAGGACCCTTCATCTGAGGCGTTCTTATCAGGTTTTAGCACTGAGAACTATTTAGTTTAACTTAGCAGAAAGATGTTAATTAATGCTACAAATTTTCACAAGAGACATCATAATTTGCTGCCTCTGTCAGTTTGGCCTTTCTGCTAGGAAGTGAAAAATTCTATGATTTTTAGAGTTGATTTGAGAGTTTAATTTACCTATGTTACTGTTCACATCAGCTGTATCAGTCTGCATCTCTCAATCTTTCAACTTCTTTTAGAGAATCAACATCTCTGGATTATTTAGCTATCCTGTCTTTTTTTTTTCTTTCCCCCACCTTGGTTCAAGTGTAAGTTTCAGACAAAAATCACTACTAAATGCAAGTATTTAATGAGTGAGGGTTTTTAAGTACCGGTACAGTACATCTCAAAACAATTGTTCTGAGCAGGTAGATCTTTTTTGATCAATAGTGGTTTAGAAGGATACTGGTAGAACTTCAGCAGTGCTGTCAGCCCAGCAGATGATCTGTATTGCGTGGGAATTAGTACACCAAAGACTTTCCCACGGTAACGGAATGCTGCATGATTTTGAGCTTCAACTTTCCCATCTATAATTTAGGGGTGGAAAAACTTGCTTCTCTGTGTTAATCAAATTGAACTGAAAATTGAATGTAAGACCTGAAGTACTGTCACTCAGTATGACAGCTGTAACAAAACACTTTGTTGTCCTGTGCAGATGCCTTACTGAGTGAGTGATCCCAAGCTCCTTCCAGACACCACTAACAGAGCTGAAGCACATTTGTAACAGCAGCAGCAGGGCTGGGGTACGTTGGCCCACATTTGGTGCCCTGATCAAGCCTCTGTGGAGGGCATCTCTGTCACCTGCCTTTCTAGAAGCCCTGTTCAGCAGTTCTGTTAGAAAATAGGAGAACTGCCTCTGAACTCTGAATGGTACAAGATAATTTCTAATGCTTATTATTTTGAAAGTTTGGTTTCAGGACATCTGTGGAAGATGAACAGACCTTGAAATGCATCAAGGAAAAATACGGAAATGGATTACATCATGCATTTGTGTAACTAGACTTGGTTTGTATCTTATAAATTCTCACTACTGTATGCAAAGTCTTGATTTCAAGGAAGCTACCACAGGGCAAAGCTTCTGGCCAGGCGAGCAGGACATCTTCCCTGTGTGCCTGCTGGCAGCATTATCTGTTGACTACTGTAACTGCCAGCTGCTCTTTTTTCTCAAAACTTGAACAGCGGCAAAACTAGGAGAGTCAAGTCTACTTCAGTCCTATAAAGTGTCTCAAGATGCCTCATTTTATGAAAAGCGTTATTAAAACCAAGCTAGTACTTTTGAGTATTAGTACTATATATATAGTACTAGTATATATATACAAGTACTATATATATATAACTGTACTCTTCTGTCTTTATTTCCATCAGTCCGCCATTGCCTCAGGTGAGAATGACAAGGCACCCTTTCGTAAGGCAGGCCAGTGGTGACGCTCCACAGGGGTACAAAATGTTTGTGATGTGGATGCCCACTTGTGAGTGTGGTAACGCTGACTGACACAAACGAGGAGCTGTTAATGATACCTAGGGCAGAACCATTAATGATACCTGGGGCTGTCACCCACCCTGTGCCCCAAGCGGGCGTGAGGTGGCTGCGGCCTGCTGTCCCCTGGGGATAGTGACCAGCCGCGCCTCCCGCGGAGGTCCCCCCCGTTGTTAGCCCTGGCCTGCGGAAGGGGTAAAACACCCCAACTGTGACAGAAAATGGCGGATCCGATCTGCCCCCCTCGGCACAAGGCTGCGGGACGAGGCGGGCTCCCTCCCTCAGGCCGCAACATGGCGGAGGCCGGGCAGAGCGGCACCGCCC